AAAATCGATGAGCAATTAAATAAGCTCATCGAGCAGGGAGTCCTCGAGCCAATGGACCATGCCCGATGGGAGACCCCCATAGTCACCCCGATAAAGCCAGATGGATTGGTGAGAATCTGCGGGGACTATAAGGCCACCCTGAACCATGCGCTACAACAAAGCGCCTACCCCGTCCCAGTAGTGCAACACCTTCTACACTCACTGGGGGGGGGCAGGGTTTTCGCCAAACTCGACCTGACCCAAGCCTATCAGCAACTGCCGGTCGACGAGGCAACCGCAGAAGCGCAGACTATAGTCACACACCGAGGGGCATTCCGCTGCAAGAGGCTCCAATTCGGAGTCAGCGTAGCCCCGGGGGTATTTCAAAGCCTAATGGAGAGGCTCCTCCGGGGCATAAAAGGGGTAGTGCCCTATTTTGACGACGTGTTGGTAGCCGGAGCCGACCAGAAACAATTGGAGGGCCGCCTAAGGGAAGTACTGCAAAGATTCCAAAGTGCAGGACTAAAAGTTAAGAGGGAGAAATGCCAACTGCGCACGGCACGGGTCGAATTCCTGGGGTACCTACTAGATCAGCACGGAATCCACCCCACCGAGGGCAAAATAAAAGCCGTCAAAGAAGCCCCGAAACCCAGAAACAAAACTGAGTTACAAGCGTTCCTGGGGTTGATTAATTTCTACAATGTTTTCCTGCCCCAAAAGGCGACCGTGGCAGAACCGTTGCATAGGCTGCTTAACAAGGCAGCCACCTGGACGTGGGGGAGACGAGAAGAGGACGCTTTCAACAAAACCAAGGACCTTCTCACATCGGACGCTGTCCTCATCCAGTACAGCGAGACACTCCCCATCACGGTAACGTGCGACGCATCACCCTTCGGCGTAGGAGCCGTCCTCAGCCACACCCTCGCCGACAGAAAAGAAGCACCCATCGCCTTTTTCTCAAGGACCCTTTCAAAACCCGAAAGAAACTACAGCCAATTGGACAAAGAGGCTCTAGCAATCGTTGCAGCCGTAAAGAAATTCCACGAATACCTTTACGGCAGGACTTTCTCCATAATCACGGACCATAAACCGCTGCTGGGAATACTGGCGGGAGACCGGGCCACCCCAATCATCCTCTCCCCAAGGATGACAAGGTGGTCCGAATTTCTCGCCGCCTACAATTACCAGCTAATCCACCGCCCCGGTAAGTCAATCCCGCACGCGGAAGCCCTCAGCCGCACACCATTGCCCACCCTGGACGCTGACCCAGCACCCACCACATCCACCCTGAGCATCGAGACCTTACCCAACCTACCCCTGACCGCGTCAGACATTGCCCTAGCAACCAATAAAGACAAACGTCTGGCGCAGGTCCTAAGATGGGTGGGAAAAGGGTGGCCGGAGAAGGACGTGGACAATGAGTTCAAAGCTTACCGGAGCCGACAAACAGAGCTATCAACGCAAAAAGGCTGTCTACTGTGGGGGGACAGAGTCATAGTTCCAGAAAAATTGCAAAAAGAAGTCCTGAGCATGCTGCACGAAGGGCACCCCGGCATCGTTAGGACAAAAGCCCTGGCCAGAAGTCACGCCTGGTGGCCAGGGATGGACAAGGAGATCGAAGCCTGGGTGGCCTCCTGCAAGCAGTGCCAGGAATCAAGACCAAACCCCCCCGCCGCCCCGATCCTGGAATGGGAAACCCCCCAGGGGCCATGGTCCCGAATCCACGTAGATTTCGCGGGACCAACCAGAGGACACACCTTCCTGGTAACCGTAGACGCTTACTCCAACTGGCTGGAGGTAAGCAACATGAAGACAACTACCACAGACGCCGTCATCAGAGAACTCAGTAAGCTCTTCGCAACCCACGGCTTTCCCGATGTCATCGTGTCAGACAACGGGCCCCAGTTCACCGCGCTACCCTTCGAGAAATTCTTGGCGGAATGAGGGATCCGGCACGCGTTAACGGCACCGGCGCACCCGGCGGCGAACGGAAGGGCGGAGAAAATGGTCCAATTCACAAAAAAGACCATCCAAAAGATCGAAACCGGGGACATGCAAGACAAAATAAACCGGATGCTACTAATTCAGCACATAACCCCGAGCACTACGACGAACAAGAGCCCAGCGGAGCTACTAATGGGGAGGAAACTGCGATCACCGCTCGACCGCCTGCACCCTACATACAACCCGGAAAGACCCCCTGACTCCACCAGCAAACGCAGAACATTCGCACCGGGAGACAAGGTCTACGCAAAAAAACTTACCGGGGACCCCCTCTGGATACCAGCAAAGATCACCCAAGCAACAGGCCCACACTCGTACCGCCTTCAAACTACCGACGGACGAGCATGGAAACGCCACATCGACCAATTGAGATCAAGAACCACCGCGGGAAATACAACCGACACGCAAACACCAGACACTGAAAGGAACCGGCAAAACACCAACCAAGAGGGGAGGGAAGGCCCCAAAGAACAAAAAGAACAAACCCACCCAAAAAGAAACCAGCAGTACTCACCACCTGAAGAACAGGAGAGCGACCCACTCGAAGCCTCACCTGGAAGGAGCAGCCGAGCCAGCTCAACCGGCCCCGGAAGCCCGAGCGGGAGCAGCCAAGCCAGCTCAACCAGCCCGGAAAAGCCGAGCGGGAGCAGCGAAGCCAGCAGCTCGACCAACCCGGGGAAGCCAGGAGGGAGCCGCGGCGAGAGGCCTGACTCACCCTTCCAGGCGGTTCCATCAACGAGGCGGAGAGCGACAGGAGTCCCACCCGAACCGGCCGACAGCCAGGAGACAACTGACCAGCGCAAGTCCAGTCGGAAAATACGGAGCCCCGCCTACTTACGGGACTACGTCACGTAGGACCAAACCAAGAGGGGAGGGGTGTTCTGTACAGACATTTGCATACTCGAAATCCGGCAGCCCGGATTGGCTAAAGCGCACGGCCACCGGATTGGCTGAGTGCGCGGCACTGATTGGTCGTTCGGAATCGACCGCGATTGGCTGAGCCGATTGCGGGCGATTCAAAACGACCCGATTGGCCGCAGCACTCGGCAGAAAGTGCTTTTAAGCCGCGCTTCTTCTCCACTCTCCCCACTTGTGTTTTACCCCAATAAATGAGCTGAACCAAGTCACCGACTCGCGTCCTTTGTTCGTATGAGATATACGACAGAATGGGTAACATTAAGAAATACTAGATAGTTGACATTAGAAGGACATGATCTGTTGTTGGGGTGGCATGCTTTTCTATGGTATAAAGGAACTAAAACACAGGGGTATTTTAGAAGACATTATATACAGGAGTCTCTGTGGTTAAACTGGGAGAAGACTAAAAGGCAATGTTATTTGAAAATTCCAGTCTGGCTATCGACTATTGAAGCATTTTCTTATCCTATAATATATAAAAAGGAACAAACAGCTAGATATGGTGAAATATTGAATGAAAAGGGTGAATCTATGCAAAATTTAGAGGAAAAAGGTGTAAAGATGAATTGGTTTTCATATGTGCAAATACATTCAAGGTATGACAAAGATTCTAAAACAGAAGGCTTCTATGATAAACTGACTGATTTAGATAAGATTTTGACAGGTACTGATGAAAAGGTGATTAAAAATTGTATGGATATGTATTAGAAATTAAACCAGAAGAAGAACAAGTTTAAGAAACTATGATTGCTTGGGGGAAGAATTTTGGATATGGGATTGATTTGGAGAAATGGCAAAAATTGTGGTCTCAAAATTATAAAATGACAATGTCAACAGCATACAAAGAAAATTTGTATAAGATGTTTCACAGGTGGCATTTCCCCCCAACAAGAATAGCAAGAATGTCCAAGAACAAATCTTAAAAAATGTTGGAAATGTCATCAGATACCTGGCTCATATTACCATATGTGGTGGACTTGTGCAGATGCTAAAAAATATTGGACTAAAATCCACACGTGGTTGGAAAAAATGACAAAAAGGCATATAGACTTGAAACCAGAGATATTTTTATTGGGAATTTTACCTGAAATATATAGTAAAGAATTGAAATATCTGATTGTAAATGTATTAACAGTGGCTAGGATTGTATTTGCCAAAAACTGGAAAAGTGAGAAAATACCATCACAGGAGGAAATTATTAAGAAAATATTGGAATGTGCTGAAATGAGTAGATTGACATTTGAAATCAGAGAACAAGATGACAAACAATTTTATAAAATTTGGGTTCTATTCTATCAATGGTTAAACAATAAAACATGGTAATGAAATATGTAGATCTTTAGAAAATAATAAATATATAAAGATGTATTTTTTTCTTATTATATCCATAAAATGATTGTAGGATAGATTTGAGATGATAATATGAACTGTCATAAAACAAATTAAGTAAAATATGAATTATTTTGTAAAACATGAATGAATAATAGTATAGTCAAATGATTGATTAACAATGATATTAATGTATTTAATATTTGATTGAAAATATGAGAATATATACAATGTAATTGTAATTGAAGACTACGAAATGGAAGCACAAAACAATTTGTAAACCAACCGACACACTATATGTATATATATGGAAGATGGCTTGATGTTTTTATGTTTTGTTTGTCTATGTTTGTCTTAAAAAACAATAAAAAAATTGAAAAAAAGAAGAGATTGGACAACCATTTGCCCAGAATGGTATAGGGTCTCCTAAGCAGGGGTTTGGACCAAAAGTCCTCCAAGATCCCTTCAATTCTGTTACTCATGGGGAAACATTGAGCTGAACAGCTATTCATTTCATAGTAATTATTTTGATTCCATTTATTTATGTATCTATGTATTTGTTTTTCAGTCATATTTATAGTAAAATATTTATTCCTGAAGGTTTTGCTTGATATTTTTACAGGCATAAAGATTTCACAATTCCTCCTAGAGATTATTTCTATGCATCTGTCTTAATAGGTGGATTTTTGTCTGTGCAGCACAAAGATGTGAAACTGGTTTGCCAAGTTGTCATAGCACTTATGCAAGGATTGATCAAAGTACACGGTAGTAAATAGACATCAGAGTCAAAAATGACCTTAGAATGTTCTGATCAGTTGCTTTAAAATATACTGGAGTCATTTCAGCCTACAAAATTCCTTATAATTTTTGCTTAAAAGTGCTTACTAAAAGGAAATGGATTGGACTGGAGCAATTTTGACATTACTATTTATTTTTGCAACTATGTTCCTTTTGAAAAAAGGCAGTTCCTGGAATAACAACTCCTGCAATCTCCCTCCGGGGCCCAGGACCATACCCCTCTTGGGAAATCTACATATGATGGATCTGAAGAAGCCTTTAAAAACAATGATAGAGGTAAAGCCTGATGATTAACAAACATGAATATTTTTTGCAACAACTTGTTGGGATGGGATAAAAACTTGGAATTTTGTTCAGGTAAGTCTGGGCTGGGGTGAGAGCCACATAGAATAGACTTTCTAATACTTGCAATATGTGTTTTGTAGCAGTGTAGCACTAGCTTACTAAAATAGGTTTTTTTCCCTTTAATATGCCTTATTTCTCCTTTTCTCCCTGTTTTAAATGTATTGTTAATAATTGGCCATAAGCCCAGCCTACCAAAAGCATGGAAAAAAACTTTCTTTTAGAAACTGGGATTTTGCGGAAGTGCTTAAAAGAAAAAGAAAGAAAGAAAGAAAGAAAGAAAGAAAGAAAGAAAGAAAGAAAGAAAGAAAGAAAGAAAG